TTTACTCCATGGAGTTACGTACTTGCATATTTCACTGAACCTGATGCACCATGCAGGATTTGAAATTCTTACGGTGGTTATGATGAGCTGTATCTTCTGAGATATAGCGGCACCTAGTCCAGTGAGAAGGTCAACTGACATTTACACACATTGCCCCCATCCTTATGTCTGAAGAGTAGGCCAAGCAAGGAAAAAGCATGAAGCAGGCACCAAGCAAAACAAACTAAAGCTTGCTTGTTTCTCCAAAATGGATGACTTTCAATAGACTATGCAACATAATATCCCAGGAGACACAACATCTGATATGCATTTATTGCAAAGCTAATCACAGCATAAAACCAGAAATTATTTATCCTTACATTCAGCTGAATATTCTACATACTGAAAAATGTTTAGTCTTAGTAAGATCTACAATGTAAGTTGTACATGATTTTCTTATGCAATTTTTGAGAAATCTCACAAAAGTTCAATTTAGATTTAATATACAGACAAGGTTGTACACTGACTTGGCTGCACCAAAACTGAATGTTCCCAACAAAAGTATGGACCCCTAGTGTCAAATTTCACTGAAATATACCAAGTAGCTCTGGAGATAAAACACCTACAACATCCTTATTATGTGTTCAATTCATGCAGAGAACACAAATACAATTTTGAAGTTTGAAATTATTACAGTGTTGATATTCTTTATTTGGAATAGTTTGACACTTCAATTCTAAAGGGCTCTGATGATGTATTTCATTTAGGATTACTGAGTTTCTGGACTCTGTTCAGCATCTAGTATTCAAAAGAACACAACATGATGGAAACTGGATCTGTTTTCATCTTCACCTGAGAAGGTTGTGAGGCACCTACTCATCCAGTGGTTCAGATTAGCTGCCTCATGTGCCTCCCCTCCTTTTCATGAGTTACAGAAATGTGTTCTTTCAAGTACGGGGCAATATACAAAGATTAGAAACTCAGTTATCCCAAGCAAGCCATTTCTTTGCAAACAATTACCATCAGTCAAATAAATCTACACTCAAGTCTGTACATTTTCCATATATAATTTATCTACCTGCAAAATATCCCCATATATGATCAAACACACTAGGACTGCTACACTGAAAATGATCTGCAGTGGTCTCAAGGTCAAGAATATCAGCTGTAAGGGCATCAAGAACCTCAACTTTAGTTTGTGATACTCGCAGAACGAATGGAACAGAGTTGTAAATCTCCTGGATAACACGTTTCTGGTTGGCCCTACAAAAGAAAAACATAATCTGCGACTAATGATAAGGTAATTATAATGGCATAAAAGGAATCTGAAGAAGAGGTACCTGTGAGGTTTCACTTACATATACAAGGTCAGAAGGTAAATAACTAAGGCAGATTCCACAATGGAAATAACTCACTACCTATTTAGTGCAGCATCTACTTTATATATCAACTAGCTGTACCCGGCCACGTGTTGCTGTGGCTCAGTCAAACGAAATATTTCAATTCAAACGCAGATTAATCGACACAGCTCAATCCCACCGCCAACTGCACTGGAAAATAAGGAAAATAGTTAAGAAAACAAAATGAAAAACAATGGAAAATAAACTATACTCACGAAATGAACGCTATGATAAACAACACAGCCCAATTCCAATGCAATGTCACATGAAATAATTAAATCAAAATGAAAATAAATCGAAACTGTTTATATTCGGCGGTAGCTATCCCAAGACTGACTCCTTCAACGGTTACTTCCAGACTCCCTTCTGTATCCCTTGGCATCTGCCCCGAGACTGACTGCTTCTTGACCAAGCTGGACTATTTATACCTCGGCGGATGCTATACAATGAGCCTTCTGTTGTCTATCACTGGGGAAACGCTGCCAGAGTCGAATCCAGAACTCTGAGTGCAAACTCAGGATCTCTGCTGTGATTTCACTCGGAATCTCTTGTGATACTTGTGACCTCGTGATACTGAACAGTCGCCGGAGCTACACTCTCTTACACATATAGCCAGCGTTTGGACGGGATAGGGAATACCTTATCGAAGAGTTAGTTTCATCTGTTGCTTACGAAATGCTAGCACAGAACACCTTGTAGAAGTGTTTGGTTTCATCCGTTGTTATGCAATGGAACCTCTTATCCTCTCATCTCCGGGGAAACGCGTTTGTTGTTTCGGCAGTCCCTATGCAACGGCCCACTGTTATTGCGTTTCCATGGAAGTATACTTTCCGGTTTCACCCGTTGTTATGCAACGGAACCTCTTATCCTTTAACCTCCGGGGAAACGCGTTCATTGTTTCGGCAATTCCTATGCAACTGTTATTGCGTTTCCATGGAAGTATACTTTCCAGATTCACGCGTGGCCGGGTACAGCTAGTAGGTATATAAAAACACGCGCGCATTCGAATGCAACGTTGTGTCAAAATTTCAAAGAAATCGGTGAAGAACTTTTGGAGATTTAAGACGACTAACAAACGAACATTTACTTTTCGGATTCACGCGTGGCCCGGTACAGCTAGTAGGTATATAAAAACACACGTGCATTCGAATGCACCATTGTGTCAAAATTTCGAAGCAATCAGTGAAGAACTTTTTGGAGATCTTCGAAGGGTAACAAACCAACATTTACGTTTTTATTTATATAGATTCAAACATTTCTGTCATGCCTGGAAACATTGCTGAAAGTCATTTTGCAAACAACATCTTATTATTGTCATCATAGTGCTCTGAATATCTTCAGGTAATTCAAAATGAGACCTTTTTGAAGGCAATTTTTGGTTTTTGGAACATGAATACATTACACACAGCCAAATCAGAAGAATATGGAAGTGTTTCCAATAGTGGTATTTATTTTACTGACCAAAAACCACTTTATAAAAGTGTGAGAAGGCATATTGTATGATTAATATAAACATTTATAGATTGCATCCTGTTGTGTATATAATATTTAATTACTTATGTTACAACTTCTGACACAGCAAAATATGTGGGGATATCTTCAATAAAGACAACAGATGTTGGTACATGTTTCAAATATATAATTATACAGGGTGTCCCAGGAGGAATGGACCAAACTTCGGGAGGGTGTTCTTTATGTTAAAGTATGCCGATATAACCCAAAACACCTATGTCCAAAGTTGAACGGTTACGGAGATAATGGCCAGAGAAGTGTCAAACTTTGACCGGTGTTACACACTTGTTGATTACAAAATACATATTAAAACTGGCAGGAATATGTGGATTCTGTAATGTTAATAATGTACGTAACATCAAACTAACTTGTGAGTGACGGAAAGCCATAAAATTGAAGTACGAAATACTCGCTCGCCAATGTCATAATTGTCCTTAGGTTTCCAAGCAGTATACAT